GAAAGCGCTGTCTCCGTGTCGCCATCATACCCACACACGCTTGCCTCTAGGGGTGGCCACAAGCTCCTGCGACCACGGCCGTGTCGTGGGAAGTTTTCAGTTTGGGCCGTGGTATCCATCCTTTCACTTGTGACGGTTTTGGCAGTGTTGGCTCTGTGTCGGACCAGCCAAAGGAGACTGGATTCTGGGGGAGCAGAACGGCGTAGGCTTTCAGATACGGAAGACGACCGGGAGCTGTCGGAAATTGTGGAGCAGTGCCTGGATTTGGAGCAGGAGCTTGGCCTTCAGCCCGCTGTTGTGGAGCATGTTGAGGAGGCGAGCGAGGCAAAGTCTAGGCTCGTCGGTATGCTATATGATTCTGCAGCGGCTTTTGAAAATATGAATTTTTTTGCTTCACAGAGGTTGCAGGATGACGCTCACTCGCCTCCATATAAGATTCCTCGGCTTAATGAGTCAAGGCCGTCGACTTCGCACCCACAAGAGTCTGTTGCCGCATTTTGGCCACACATTAGTGGAGAGGCAATGCACTATGCGGTGGACAGTCTAGGTGCAGCAGCCTGGCCGGGGACGGAGTATGACCTAGTCGTTGACGAAAGCGGAGAGGAACGTCACATGGCAGAGCATGCCACAATATCTGGCCTTCCACAGGACTTCTCAGGATATGCAGCACGTCCATCTGCATTTTATGCAGCTACTAGGCCTCAGGACCCCTTCTATAGTGGCAGAACGAACAGTGGCGGATACGGTTTGACTCCTGACGCCTGGCTCGATGATAGTCAAGNTTCTATAGTGGCAGAACGAACAGTGGCGGATACGGTTTGACTCCTGACGCCTGGCTCGATGATAGTCAAGCGCACACGTATCCGCAGGCGTTTCAGCAAAGGATAGCTGATACTGCAGCAAGGCAGCCAACGATGGAATCAACATCGGCAGCCTCCACCAGTGCAGGCTTTACAGCAATTCATAGTGATCTTGCAGGTAGAGTTTATTCTGGAGTCCCGCATGGAGACGGCGGCCACGAAATTGCATGGCCGTCAAGTCAGATGAGAGCAGAGCAACAGCTGGAACAGCCAGAAGACGGATTTGAAGTTACTCTGGATGCCGTGGCAAAGTCTGAGTCTGCTGCAGCTGCGCGGGCAGGCAGCGACGGAAGCGCGGAACCGTCTTACCCTGGGAACATTCATCTGCACCCTTTCGTGCGGCTTCCTGAGGTAAACCCAAAAGATATCCACGGAGTTTTCCGAAAGGAGTTTGCATTGGCGCCCTACTTTGGTAGGTTTAGCCCAATGGACTCATACATGACACTGCGCCGTTTATTTGCGAAGGCTTCGCTGACGGCTAAAGACATAGGAACCCTGATAAAGGAAGCTGAAATACTGGCAAACTATGCAACAGAAAGACTGGCAAGCCCATGTAGTAAATGTACAGCCAGCTACCTGGTGAGGAAGCTGTCATCTCTGTTAATGGTATTTGACCACTTGGTTTGCGCACTTGAACTCCTGGGGGATAAGATGGATGCCCAGAGCTGGTGGGCTGAGTTTGTGCGGAAGTTCCACACAGATTATCACCTTCCCGAAGCAGGAAGGACGCGAAGAGCACGTTTCCTGAGCCGGCTGGTCAATCGACTGAGTTCTGCCCTGTCAGTATATAAGGAAGGAAGACGCCCGGCACTTGGCGAAGTAATCGATCTGAAGAGGGCCATCATTGCCGAGGCGAACGCGGAGGGGCAGTTGACGAACCCTCTGTGGGAGCTGTGGATGGATGATGACAAGGCATTCTTCTCTTCTAGTAGTGATTCTGAACGTCCCTCTGATGTTTAGACGCCGGTCAAGCCAGATGCATACACATACAGACAGACCGTGAAGCGTACTGTTATTTGGTCGACAGTTACATGGCTGATTTGCCTTTTTGTGCGAGACAGGCTTAAGCCTCTGTGAATGCCGAGATTTCGCTAGTCGAGGCTACCAAAGATAGCTAAAACTGCGTTTGCATGCTTTCCCCTTGGTTTACCTGGCGTATCTGCTACTGCTGTTAGAGTTCGCCACACGTGGTGCTGCCTCAAAATGAGGCATCTTTCCCGCTTTTTTCTAGATGGCGTCGTACTCGCATGCTGCACAAGGCTTTTTGTCGCTTGCGCATCTGGGCAGGCAGAAGCCGCCGGTTATTTAAGCAGTATCTAACAAACA